GAATGCTTTGGCTGATGCGTTGTCATGCAGACCAGACTATGAGCTTGCTCATGTTACAACTGTCATGTCGACTGTGATGGATTTGATCCGCACCGTGCTCTATTGGTGGCCCAAGCTGTAAAAATGTACGAGCACCTATGTGCGCACGTGTGAGACATGCCAACGGGTGAAACCCTCTCCAAATGCGGCTGGCCGTTGGCCAGCTTACTGGTACCCATGGGATGCTGACAGTTCATGCGTTTGGACTTTGTGTTTGGCCTCCGAAAAATTCGGCGGGCAACACAGGTGTCGTGGTATTCGTCGAGCGGTTGAGCAAGATGGCTCATTTGGCGGTGGTGCTAGACACCATCGACGGAGATAGAGATCCCGTTTCATGGTAAAATTCTGGTCGACTATCTTCAAGGTGCTCGACACCAAGTTGGATATGTCGACAGCTGATCATCCGCAGGCTGATGGTCAAACCAAAAGGGTGAATCGCGTCGAAGACTTTCTTCACAGCGTCTGCGCTGAGACGCCGAGGCGCTGGAGCGCCATGTTGCCACTCGTACAGTTTGCACTGAACAATGCAGTGCATTCGTCTACCGGCTACACGCTGTTCTACATGAACGGGCCGATTCACCCTCGCGTCCCACTGACGCCGCCATCCCATGGCCCAGGGCTTGGTGGGGGAGGAATAGCCAAACGTCTAGCTATGAAGGACCTCGTTCTGTCCGTCGATGTCGATGACTTTCTATCTACTAAATTGAGTGTCTTACGACACGATCGCAATGCGATGACTGATAGCTAAGACATGAAGAAGGAACATGCAGACGGAAAGGAAGAAGAAATGTTGAGAACAGTAAAGTCGGAGACCTGGTTTTATTAAATGTTAAAAACTTTCGTACACATGTAGTTTCTGCTGTAATCAAGCCAAGTTCCGTCGGAGGTTTAGCGTATACTCTGAACACTACGAGAAGGATGCACTGTATCGGGATTACTCGTGCCCTTGTGAGAAAAGCCGGGTCGCACAAGATTGAGTGACCGTACCTAGGTGTGTATTACACAGTCAGTGTAATCAAACAGTGGAGTGGCTACACTGTGACAAGAAGCCACCACTTTGCAGGTTTACCAGTAGTAATACATTTTACTATATTAATTAGGTTTTGCTATTTAATTTTAGGTATTACTATATTAAATAAAAAAAACCTAGGCTCTGGCGCAACTAATCACAATTAATCTGAATACAGTTTCGATTTTGAAGAAAAGTGTTCATTTACCTTGGTTAAGGTTTATAGTACTTATAAGTACCGGATTGCGATCCGGTATACTAGTATGGGTTCTTGGAAAGAACGTAAGGTCGGTGACTTAAGCTTAGCTTCCCTTAAGCAATGAGCAACGGCAGCCATGCTGCGGTGAGACCCTTGACCTTTTGCGAGAGTCGCTTACGTAAATCTTGGCCCTATTGACCCAGACTGCAGCGGGGCTGCCGTTGCCTAGCGCTAGAAAAAGCGTAATTTGGGTCACCGA